GAATTCCTGAGCGCTTCTTTCCTGGCAAATTTGACATATGGGTAAGAATGAGTCTTCCAGCAGGGCCTGTGATGTGAGTGACCAGTCCAAAGTTAAAGGTCTGAGTGAAGGGGGCAAGAGAGTTGCCTACAGATCGTGTAGTGTTTGGGGATACAGATATGTACCTGGTGGAAAATAGCCATATTAACATCTTGGTATGGTCTCTGACCAAGGAATGTGTCTTAAAATTTTTTTCTAACAAATATATCTTTTTATGATACTAAAAAAAATTGTTTAAGGAGAAACAGAAGAGGCAAATATGCTTTCTCCTACTTATTTCTAACTCCTCCTTGCCATTATCCTAAAGGCTTTTCTCTTTTTATTCCTGCAGTTCAGTCTCATCAGATTTCCACGTCCTGGTGGTGGCGGCAGCCTTTGTCCACTTCTATGGGTCTCCAACCTTCAGGAATTCCGTTATGGCCTGGAAGGTGGCTGTAACTGATGACTCCTTCTCTGAGCCTTCCCACCTGAAGGGTGGAGGAGGAGCTTCCCAAGTGCTTTTAAAAATAACTTCTTTGCTGAAGTGAGAGGAAGAGTCTGAGTTGTCTGTTTCTAGAAGAAACCTCTAGAGAATCAGTACCAATCAAGCTTCAGCCCACTTTCACACCCACTGGGCAATAAACGTAACATGTCCATTCCCCTAGCTGGGGAGGTGGGGTGGCCAAACTTAGTCATCCCCCTCTCAGCAAGGCAACTACCGGCCCCTCACAGAGACAGTACTTTGAAACTCATGTTGAGATTTTATCCTTCCCCACCATTTGGGAAGAAATTATGGACTGGGACTCTTCAGAAATTTCGGTTTTTTCTGGAAGAAAATGTCCTCCCTTACCCTATCCTTACTTTGTAACCTGGCTTATAACAGGCCAGCCATTTTGTAGCACACTTTTCAAAAATGATTATATAACCTGGTCCCATCTTTCTAGGGCCTGGATCTGCTTACACAGCAGAAAGAATAAAGCCACCAACTTTTACATAGCCCGGCTAATCATGGAAGTGTGTCCAGGCTTCAAATAACTTGAGTTTTAATTTTTTTTTTCTTGCAGAGTAATGTAAAATTAAAATGGGAAGATATTTAATAAATACTAAGCTTTAAGAAGAACCTGCTATCATTGCTATGTATCTTGATGCAAAGACTATGATGATAAAAAGAAAGTACAGAAACACTTGGCATTAAAGACTTAACATGTATGGTCTCGATTATTTGCACTAACCAAAGGATTAAGGCCAATAATAATATCAGATTCTGCTGAGACACAAATTTGAATCACAGGTATTGACAGGCTAACCAAATACTAGCATCTACTCAGTACAGTTTTATTTTTTTCTACTTGGCACACAGACTATCTTATTAGACAAATCAATAGGCTTAGTAGTGTTTAATAACTAGGAGACTCTCACAGGTATTAGGATATATCCCAGAATTTAGGGATATAACTCACCTTGCTTAGGCTTGTCTCATTGAGGGGTCAGTCCATGCCATCATTTGCTTTTGTGAATTGTTCTCAACCTGACATGAGTTTGGTTCACTGGATAGCCTAAGTCAGCAGTAATCACTTCTCAGCTAATGTAGGCAGTTAAAGGGGAGGGGAGTCTTCTTGAGTTATAAAGTTGTGTTAACTTCAAGGATCAAGTCTGTACAACTGGGAAAACAAATGATCCTTTTAAAAAATAATCCACCACCACTTCTCCTGGTAGAGGGGCCATGAAGTACATATTTGGTCTAAGCATGGTCAAGATTCCAAAAACAGAAACAGCACAAAACTGCAGGAGGGAAAGGAGAAAAAAAACAAAAAAACCTGTGAGGAAAAAGGGAATGTGTACACTTTGACAGTTGACGGTTTTAAATCAGTGAACTATAGGGTTTAGCTGGGTGAACCGCAGTCGAAAATTTCAGTAGAAAATGGACCGTCATACAAATCTAGACAAAAGACCCCTTTTTTGAATGCCTGGTGTTTTGTTTCCACGCTGGGAATTATGAAGTAGAAAGGAGTTGCCTCCATCTAAAACAGTTCTGCTAGGATGACAGGGAACATCTAGCCCCAATGTCTTCCAGTTTCTAGGTCCTCCACCCCTCAGTCTGAAATATCAGTGATCAAAGTTCAACCAAGTTCACTGGTAGT